TATTGCTTGATCACGCCCCTTCTTGCAGGTTTAAAAGGAATTTGTACTTGAAATCACGCCTAATGAGATAATTAATAATTTGATTTTAAGCTAATATGATTTTAATTCAAGTGATCACCAATATTAGATTTATTTGTGCATTAATAATCAACCAACGTAGATTAAACATGCTTAGGAATAATTTGATGTATGTATGTTGATCAGAAAGTGCACATGAATATTATAAGAATTAAGTAGAGGCCGATTTAGGGCAGGTTCAATCTCTTTTAGGTTGGATTCGTACCATCATCCCCGAATATCTAGTCATGGTTCCGGACCACTATGGAGTTAGCGATCTCCGTGATCGTGAATGGGGTGTAACCTTCACACCCGTGAACGGTTTACAAGTTCCTAAAACTTGTTGGCGACTCTTTTATCTCTAACTTCCTTCCCTTTGGACGCCACCATGCCTAAAAGCATGATCATAGTGGGGCTCAAAGTTGAATTTGAAAAATTCCCTACACTTATATGCATCACTAGTTTTATTTTACTCCATTTTCTCCTCTCCACTCACGCATCTCCCATGTTGCCCCAAAGAAAAACTCCACTCACGCAACTCCACCGAACCCACCAACCCAGCAGGTTACCACCGCTGCACCGTTTAGCCACCACCTCTCCCATAAACACCAGGCCAGACTTGCTACGAGCACCCAACCAACCACACTGAAGCTCCTGCCGGAGTCACACACTCACACCGCAGCTCCTGCCGGAGCAACACACTTACACCACCATGCTGCAACAAAGTAGCACAGGCAGCCACCAGCCTCGCCACCAGTATCCACACCTCCGCAGCTCTCCAACTGCCGCCTAATAGCCACCATCACTGCCGCCTAATTGCACCCCCAAATTCGCACCACCTTCAACCAAAATCGCAGCCCAAACACCACCTCCAACCAAAGCGCACCACCTGAAAATTGAACCATCTGAAATCGCAGCCCAAGTGAACCAAAATTGCAAATTGTTCATCGTCATCTTCGTCCACCATCCATCGCAAATCGCACTTCGTCATCTTCGTTTTGAGGAGTTTTCGATTCAATCAGAAAATGCTCTTTGATTTGGTTGCCTGATTCAAGCATGATGATCTTTGTTTTGTAAATTGTGAGCCCTAAAATCCCAATTTTCTTCGAGAATTAAAATGAATGGGTAATATGATCGAAGGGAAAGGGTTGCCGCACGAACTTTTGGGTGTGGACGTCCGCACCCAATAGTTTGTGATTATATTATCAGGAGAAAATTTTACGTAAATTGCTTTTAGTAAATTAAATTATCATAAGATACATACATGTCATATTTTGATATCAAATGTCTGAAAATGTAGTTAGGGATTTAGGATTCAACCCTTTTTCCTGTATGAACTTAGGAGAATCAACATGAATTTACTTTCATAGTTGTAAAAATCAAACTTAATAACCCTTAGGTTCTATTCATTACTATCCTCGGCCTCTCTATCTTGCTTCATTTAATTTTTCACATTTTTAAAGACATGTATGTGTCAAAGCGCAAATATCTTTAATTTCGTTTATTAAAAAAAGTATAAAATGTGACACTTTAAAGTAGAATTTGAAACAAATCGAACAAAATTCCACATAATGTACTATTTCTAGCTAGTATAGTGATAAATTAAGGTCAAAGTTTATAAAATTTGTAGCTGGTGATTAGAACCATCTCTTGCAACTCTTGACTGTTAATGCAATGCAATTCCAAAGTAATCATGTAGTTATCCAAACTCATTCTCGTGACTTTATAGACCAGTCGTTAGGCTTGATATGGTTACAAACCAACTTATATGATCCTTGGGGACACCCGACTCATTCACTTTAATTTTGAGAGAATTCCCAAAATTGATTTGAAAGCGAGAATTTATAGTATTCTGTTTTGGACAATTTTCACCTATTTCGAACTTAAAGAGGTGGATTGCTTTACACAGAACCCACGATACTTCGATAGGCCAATCGGCTGGTTGGAACTATCTACTTACCTTTACACTGCTAATTTAGCCATTTATGTACACTCATCCTTTCATTAACTCAAGACCGCTCAAACCTTTACGTGACCGACTAATGGTCATTTATGATTCCAAACTATATTAGACAACCCAAGATGCATCCCCTACAAGCTACAATTTCAAGAGTTTCCAAGACCAAGTCTAGAAATCTCTAAAAATGGTCTAATTTCTTGTATTATATATATCTTTCAAATTAAGCCTTTAAAGAACATTGTTTGACCTGGCAAAATCAAGCATCAATGTTTATTATGAGGTTCCAATGGACCTCTGAAGCCTGCTTGTTGCCCGAACTATCTCATTCTCGATATGGGGAGACATTTCAACGTTAGCTCTTGTAAGTAGTGATGAAGCAAAGGTTGTAATATGGGCTTCCGCAATGGACCAGCTTCCATTATCATATCTTAAAATACCTTATGTAGCTTGGCTTGGCTTGTCCTGGTGATGTCTTGGCTTGGGATGCCTTACCTTTCTTAGGCCTTGCGTTGCCTTTATTCTAAGTTACATTAAGACACTATCCTCGAAGACCTTAACTATAAAAAAAAGTAGGCATTTTTTGAGAATCAGAGGGTATGTGTTTTCATGGTTAATAGAAATGGAGTTTTTTTTTTTTTTTTTTTTTTTTTTTTTTTTGGGGGGGGGGGGGGGTGGGGTGGGGGGTGGGGGACGAATTTAATACCCCTTAGGCCCTTAAAGGCTTAAAGCTATCTAAAATTATGCTAAAAGCTGCATGAATAGCAAATTGAACTAGGCTTTGCTATGATGGGTCATTCGTTACTTGGACATAGACCAGTTTGGGCTCCACTCGCTGGACATTATATGGGCCTAGACCGCTTAAGGACTTGAGTACTGAGAAGCAATGAAAGCATTGTGTTTTCATTAATTCTTATAATTATTACTCCGGAATTTTTTTACCTGCAATACTTCTCATTTTGCTTGCCAACATTATTTTAATCAATAGTTTCTATATTACCAATACGTGAAAATTATAAAATTTGATATTAAATTGAGACAAGTCTAGAAAAATCACATATAACTATATTTTTCCGACTATATTTCATCAAAATTAGTAGTCAAAATGAGTTTATAAATAAATAGTGTAAAAATCAAAGTGTTGCATGTAAAAAAAAATGTAGGAAGTATACGACATGAGATTAATCCAGTTGACCACTCTTGTTTTTAGTTGCTTGTTATGCTCCAAAATATCACAATTGTAATTTTTGTTGATGTGGCCTCTCCCAGCTTAGTTTACTGAGTAAGACACTTTGACTTTAACTTTATATATACTGACTGCATTTTCGACAATTAATAAATTTTCTAATAAGAACTTACTAGAAATGTTTCGTATGTATTCTCAAATGTTTGATGTTTATAGTCTTTTGATAACACAAATAACATATATTGTTTAGGAAAAATTGCGAGGAAGATTCTTTTAAGGAGACGACCTTGTAAGGAAGGTCCTTTTATGAAAAAGGTGGCACCAAGGGTCTTTTAAGGCATTTGGGTTGTGAGGAGGGTCCATTGATCAAAACTCCGGCGTTGACTCCCATTTTCCGGCCAAAATAAACTCACGTGTTGGGCACGTGACTTCTTTAGAATTTTTTTTTTTTTCTATTTTTTCCCTTTCTCCATGTGAACCACCTTCCTCCACGTGAACCACCATAACCACCTCACCCCCTTCCTCCATGTGAACCACCATCACCACCCACCCACCCATCACCACCAAATTGACCCCCACTCCGAAACCTCACCTGAATTAAGGAAAAGGGAAGGGGAAGGGACTGCCATGTCCAAACCCCATCCCAAATCCCCTAGCCTCGAAACCCCACCTGAATTGGTAATGGTGCGGCTATCGGAGTACTTGCATATCCCCAGCCCCCGGCACCCGCAGACGACCCAGCCGCCGACGACCCCACCTAACCCTTTCCTCTTCCTTCCCACCATAACTCCCGGCATCAATTGAGCAGTCATCCGCCTTCAACCCACCACTAGCGACGCCTCTCAACCCACCAACAGCAGCACCCGCCTTTTACACACCACCAACACAACCCACAACCAGCCCATAATAACCCACCCTTCCGCTGCCCTCGCCTCTTCCCCAGCACCCTCACTCCTTCAATTCCTTGCCCTTTCTGGAATTGGCCATTCGAATAGATGAAATTGGGTAGTGGATTGTTGGTTGCAATTTGTTTTGGTGGTTCGGTTGGTGGCTGATAGACGGAATTTGTGGAGGTTTGAGCTTGGTGGAATTGATGCGGTTGTTGTTGCGAACTTGCGGTTGCCGGAAGTTTGTTGCTTTACGTGAGAGGAAAGGTGGTTGTTGACGCTTGTCTTAATTCAGGTGAGGTTTCGGAGTGGGGGTCAGTTCAGTGGTGATGGATGGGTGGGTGGTGATGTGTTGGAGGTGGTAGTGACGGTGGTTCACATGGAGGAAGGGGGTGAGGTGGGAGAAGAAGGATTAAAGAAAAAATAAATTGAAAAAAAAAGAAAAAAAAAATTTCTAAAGAAGTCACGTGCCCAGCACGTGAGTTTATTTTGGCCGGAAAATGGGAGTCAACGCCGGAATTTTGGTCAATGGACCCTCCTCACAACCCAAATGCCTTAAAAGGACCTTTGGTGCCACTTTTTTCATAAAAGGACCTTTCTCACAAGGTTGTCTCCTTAAAAGGACCTTTCTCGCAATTTTTCCTACTGATTACAAAGTTATGTATTGGAGCACTTAAACTATAAAAACAAGTAAATATTCCTTATGTCAATAGGGGGTGTGTAAACATCTTAATTTGCCTGTAAAACTTCTCATAGTTTATCTTGCGAGATACTCGTATATTTAGTATAGATGTAAATTACAATTACAAAATTGGTATGGTATTCCACAAATTAAACTACAAACACTTTTTAATATTGTTACAACAATTTGTTGTCACTAGTCAGTATATCTCGAGTTAATATCAAAAGAGGGGACTATAAAATTTGAAACTATTTCAAAAGGGTCAGGCTTTTGATACAATGTGCTCTAATTCCAATCAATGTATTACATACATATGACCATTTTTCTACAGAGTAAAGTGACCACAACAACTAATAAATTCATAATATCACTGATTTATTACGGATATATTACATTTTGGACTAAGACTGGTAAAATGGCAAGTAGTCCTCGACTCTAATAAAATTATTAGCAAGAAAAAGAGTGAACAAATCCTGACCTAAAAATCAAAGAATATATAGAATACGTGGTTTTGTATATATTTACTTGGATTTGTTGGGAATATATGGGTGTCCAATGTAATGAAAACCTCTCAAAAATTCTCCTTGTGGAAATCAAACTTGGTAGATGTTTTCCTCGAAAAATCTTGAGATAAATTTCTCAGTTGCTGAGTTAAACCAGGTGCACCACAATAGAACACCCCTGCAATAACACGAAATTAAAGTTACGGACTTCATCTCAACAATCCGAACTAGAGGTGACCAATGGATCAGTCCAGGTTGGCTCGGAATGTGTGGTGAGCCACGAATGGCTCACGAAACTAAGTTCGTGCTAGGAGGCAGATCCATTGATCTATTTAGAATTTATATGAAAGGGAAACATGAAAAGGCGCTAAAGTGGGAAATGCTTACCAACTCTTTTCTCAGTGTGGTTAACAGTAACATGCTTGAAAACAGCCCTCCAATTAGGCCTAGCAAAATGAGTCTTCACTCGAGTCCCAGACACGATATCCATACCATTCTTAGCATGGTGTAGGGACTGAAGCATAGCGATCAAGGCTGACCTTGCATCCCCTTCTTCGTAGACACTTGTGCAATAGTTATGAAGTTCGATCACATGTTCTTGGTCATTCTCAGCCACCTCATTCATCACACTCCTGAACCACTCAAATGACCCTTGTTCTCGAGTCACCCAATAGAAATACACCCGTTTCACATTGAATGGCCTCCTCCTATCTTCAGGACTCATTCCCCTCTCAACCTCTTTTTGTTGCTTGAGGTGGTAGAGCACATCCTTGACTATACTGATCAACGGTGTTGCCCCAATTCCAAGACCTACTAGTAAGAGGACGTCGTAATTTTTATAGTCTTGAGCTGGTGCTCCATATGGACCATCAATCTTAAGTCTTGGCATTCTACAGAATCATGTCAGGCAACATTTAGCATTATTATTGTCATGTTTGGCCATTAGCACTTAGCATAAGATAGAAAGCATTAACAAATAGCATATTAGACTCTTGTTGCGATTGTATGCAAGAAATAACATCTGTATTGCTAAAATGTATCAGCAGAATTAGGCCTCGTTCTTTTTACCTATAAGTTCCTTAACTCATTGTATCTTACTTCGTTATCTTACTAGCCCTTGTATGTCATTGTCTCGAGATCGAAAGGATATATCATAGCTAAGTATGATTTTTTTTTTGAATTGTAGAATGTAAAATTACCTCGGAATAGGTCCACAATTAATATCAGCTCTGAGAAGGCCACTCTGATCACTGCTTCTGGGAGGTTGACATAACTTGGAGAAGAGTGTTCTCAGCTGAGAGGTCCAGTCACCTAATGTTCGAATGTGAACGCTTATGTAATCGTCCCCTGGAGCCGAAGTCAGAGAGAATGGATGCCTGCAGTATTTCAAAATCCATATCAAATTGGAAACCAACTCCTAATACCAGTCAATTCATTCTGTTAGAAGAATCATCAGAAGTTCTTAATATATTAGTACCATTCGAAAGGAGAAACCTCAGCACAGTTTACAAATATGTACTGTCCACTGGTGTATCTGAAATTCTGAGGTTTTGTCATTTGCAATGATAGTACATTCCCAGGGTATACCGCGACCTGTAACATACAGAAAAAAAAGACATTTATTTCTCTAATCGCGATTTCAGAATTTCTTATTAATCAGAATTGCAGAACGAGATCAGCATGCCACAAACCTTTGATATCTGTACTGACTTGTAACCAGACCGGAGTGCCCTAATCAGTCTCTCAAACGCGTATAATAGGACGGGCACAGCAAGATACATCCATGTCTGTATCAAAGCCACAATCACAACATCAATATATTTCCTCAACAAATTTCTTATACTAGCATATAATTTAACCAAATCATATTTTGTATGGAGTCTAATGTTTTAAGCCAAATAAATACTTACCGTTTTCTTGTACCATTCCTTGCTGAGGTAGAGGAACCACCCGTGGACTAACAGGAGGGCATAGACTATGACGAACAGATGGTGAGAATACCAAAAGGCATTGAACCCAGTAAGTTTCTTGAGAGCCTTAGGCAGCTTAAGTTTATTCCTCCGGAACCAAGGTTGAGCTAAGATGAACGCGATGGCCATTAAGACTACCATGATGATCCCGGTCCATCCTTCCTTTCCCTTGACAAACCACCAGTAGTTTGGAGGTCTCCTTTCCCCAAAGTACTTTCCAAGTGGGGCATAGGCCTCATCTGATGCGTGTAGCAGCCTTGGGAAGTCACATGTAAGATGGCATATCACGTGGATAGCAACCCCAACCCCGACACCAAGGGCTATAACCTTATGGAAATTAATGTTGTCGTCAAAGGGCACTGCCATCCCTAGCTTAGTTCTGCTCCTAAGCCAGGTAATGGTGTTCCTACAGACAGGTAAAAGGATGAGGGCCATGTTGAATTTGAGGGTCTCAGCGGCACCCTTGGCAAAAGTGACACAATATCCCATGACATGAAACACGTAACGATTCTTGTATTGAATGAACTTCCAAGTGAAGAGACCAGCACAAATGCCAAGCCATAAAAGAATAACCCATATTCTCTTCCAGTTGTCCTCGACAAAGTAAGTGAGCCTACTAGCACCACGCTTGATGGGGTTGGGCTCCTTAGTCGGAACAAGCTTTTGGCTAAGCAATTTGCTCAGATTACGGCTATCTGTGACCGTGGTGTTTGAGTGTGTTGGCGCTTGAACCAAGAGCATTTCCAAGTTATGGATCTACATATTGAGATACATGATCACATTGATTAGTACTCTAAGTGATTCCTAAAGAACAAAGCTAAAATAAATTATCAAAAGGTATCTCTTATCAAGTTACCAAGCACCACTTCAATCATAGATTTAACTTTTCGAAGGTTACTTCAGAGTTCAGATAGTTAATGTGTTACTGTGTGTTAGGTACGTAACATGTTAAGTTTTTTTTTTCCTTGTTCATACGAATCATACTTAAACTATAGGGAGAAGGACCAAGGTTCAAATCACAATTGGGCTAAGATTAAATTTAGAACCGGGCCAACACATTTAGTCCAGAATATGAGCTGTGGCTTTTGTCACAGCAGTTAAAGGAAACATAAAACCAACCTCAATGAAACCAAGGCCATCAGGATCAAGCTCTTCCATGATAAGGGCAGCATATTCCTCAGCATGATCTTGAATCGTCGACAGCTTATTGGCTGACGCACTTAGCGAGATAATCTGAATTAGTCAAACAAAAAAAAAACAATCAATAAAAATGTAATATGTTGCACTAAAAATGTCCATAGTATGAAGAGCAAAAGAGAACGTAGGGAGTAGTAACATGTACGATATGTAAGAGAGTACTGTATTATTTTAATTTGGGTAATTGTGACATTAATTATTCATTACATGTATCAATTTCCTACCTGTTTGACCTCGTCTTCTGTAATCCTGCCATCTTCATCCTTGTCCACCCTGTAATTTCAGTCAATGACATTAGCATCTTGTCTACTTGCCTAATCCAAAATAGTAACCTTTTCTTTAAGAATTAATTCTTGAAACTCACTTAATACATACACCATTATTTCAATACATGCATGTCATATAAAATTAAATCACACATGCATTAGATGCATGATTAGTAGACATATTGGTCCATTTCTTGGTCAAGTCAAGTCCTTAGTTAAATGTGGCCAACAGCTCATTCAAATCAAGTTCGGGTAGAATCATATTCGGGTGGTGAGTTTATAGCAATTCACCGTTAAAATGAAGTCAAATTTAATCATACCAATTTTGAGACACTGTTAAATCAATTTTAATTCAGGTTATAACCGAGTCACCATTTTGTTAGAGAGAGCCACAAAGGGTAAATGAGGTAAAAAAAAAAAAAATCAATTTTAGTTCTTGAGTATCACACTATCGCCCTCAAAATTATACCAACTAAACTAGCTAACATCCATATTGAGTCACATAATATGAACATAAAAAATATAAATTATATGATTCAGGTCGAGTCAATTTTCTGGAGTTTACACTTGTCCCCTTATCTTAACGTCTAGCATATATCCTTGGAAATCTCTCATTTATCATTGTTAGTGACCGACTGAGCTGAGTTCCAAAAGGTCAGAATTCCCATACCATGCACACCAACAACTCAACTAACCCCCCAAAAAAATCCAATGAATGAACCGACATTTATGAAGGGTGGGTCTTCGCTCTTCACATGCATTTAACTTTTAATATCAAATCATTAAAAAAAAAGGTGACAAATTTAAAAAGGTGACAAATTTATCATGGTATTACAGACTACATGATTTTAGGCTAAAATTTATGCCATATTTTGGATCTTTCTTTCTCTAATTAAATTTAATCTAACTTATTGCATGTGCGTTCAGATATTACTGATTACTTCTTCTTTAGGTTTAAGGTGTTAGGTACAGCTACTTTACAGTTGATTGGCTCTTCTGTTTAAGGTTAATTGTCATTAAGAAACCTAATTATTTTATTATTTACAGTACACTACACTTTAGCTTGTACTTGCATCTAAGACCAAATTAAAATACTTTATACAAGCTGTAAATTTTTGGCTTTTTTCTACTAAGTGAGTATTTAGATTCTTGTAGTGAGAGTCACAAATGGTGATATAGACTAAGCACGAAGCTCAACATATCTTTATACGACAATATTAATATTTTAATCAACTAAGATAGAAAGGTAAAATTGAGTCAAGTTAATCGAGTAGTATATCACGTAGTTGAATGAGAGGGTTTGTAAAATATCTCGCTTTCTTTACCGCAATCTTGGACCGTTCAAATATGTGGCAAGTGAAGTGAAATATTTGACGAGAAACTCTCAACTCGACTTAATTTGATTAACGTGTTAGTTGTGACATTCTAGCACCATGATACAAAGACACAGTCATATTAAATGTGAAAGTAGCTTACTATATACTATAGTCCTACATGTTTTGTCAAATACTACCCTATTCCAAACTTTTATGATTTGACTAATCTAAAAAATCTTTGAAGGTTTCAAATTTTAATCATACAAATTTGGAATAATAGACCTAGACAATTTAATTTAAAAAGTCAACATGATTGTTATTGTCAGAATTATTTTTTAGCATTTTATTGACCAACATTCTACGTATACGTAATTTCTTACAATACAATCATTTAGCTCAACATTACAAATACGTATATATAATTAATATCATCTCATATATATATATATATATATATATATATATATATATATATATATATATAAAATAAAAACAACCCTCATTAAGTTAATTCCAACTCCAAACTGTCAAATCGGTTTCAATTTTCCTTACTAAAATTATCGTCTGATTAGTAAAGTTTAATTAAGACCTTGAGATAGATACAGAGTGTATCAAAACTGTTATGATGCACTTAATAAGACTGTATATATCAAAACCGTAAATTAAATGTCGATAACTTACATGTCAAAGAAAGTTTGAATTCGAGCATCAAAACTCTGATCAGCTAACTGTTCCCAAAAATCACGCAATTGAGTCTTCGTAATTGTTCCCGTAACAATCCCTCTTCTACGCGCTAATGCATCAAATAATTCCCCGGCAAACTCCTTTTCATTCATTCCTGTCAAACACTTCTTTGTTAAAACGTAGCCGTCTTGTAGGAAAAAACCAATTTTACCAATCAATTCTTTTGTTTGTTCTATTTATTTGGAAAATTTGCATGATAAAAATCAAGCAACTAGCCAAATAGTTCTAGATTTTTTCATTCCAAAAAATAAAAATGCAAATGATGACATGTTTATATTTACATTATTAGTGTTAAAATTGCATGAAAATGAAGTAACTATGACCATTTGTGGTGTGGTAGGTCAGAAAGCAAGATTTGTTACTACTCTTAGTATTAGCGTGAATATATGGATGATTTAATTTGTACGTAGTAGTAGGTAGATGAATTTCATGTCATTAGATTTCTAAAGTTGTACCAATTTTTCTTTTGCATAATTTAGCTAATCTATTCTCTTTGACACAAATTTCACTAAAGTAATTCCATTCTTTTGGGTATGTATTTAACGAATTGATTCGATTTGCACCAACTAATTGATTTGACTGAAGATAAATTGGTTACGCCATGTAATTAAGATGCATATAGAATTGAACAAGTTCCGCAAATTCATATCCACTCAAATTGTTTCGTGAACAAGAAATTCTACCATAAGTGATCATAAAACATAGATTGAATACAAATTAGCACACTTTTGAAGCATGTTATTCTAATATCACTTTTTAGTACAAACTTTAGTATAATCATAAAAGTTATTCATCATTTAGCCAAATTGCAATACATTTAAGCCTAACATAATAATTCCACCCATAGTAGCACATTTTGAGCAACATGCTCACATAGTATAAAAGTCTAAAAACCACATAAAGCATAAATATCACTTTCATGTTTTCTTGTGCGCCACCGTTCATTTTATTTTATAAAGTCATATCCTCAATTATTTAAATATGAAGTGTTATTATTTTATTATAGTGACACCAAAGACTAACAATATACGAACTAGATAAGTTTTAGCTTTTAATAAGCTCTATCTAAAAATGAATAGTCTAACACACTTTAATTTGTTTCGTGTTGCATATAGATATTGTGCATAATCTGTGTACGTCTGTCACACAAGTTAGTGTGACACACGCACACAGTATCCATGTATGATATATCACCTCTAAAACTTTAACCAAATACAAATACGCGGTAATAAAAGACATACCGATGCACTGGCCGAAGCGGGACCGAAGAAGCAACCCATCAACTTGCAATTTCTCAAAGCGGCCCTCAACCTGAGCCCACCCTTCATTACCAACACTCTTATTCAAAAACTGCAACCCCTTAAGAGCACGCGCGGCGGTGGTCTTAGTCCGATCGAGTTGGCGAAAACCAGAGCGATTAGAAGAAGTAACACGCTTAAGCTCCCTAGAGACTTGCTTAATCTTAGCAGAAAGTTGCGAGGTAAGCGTGTGAGGGCGCTGCCTCTCTAAGTGGCTAGTAAGTAACGCAGCTTCTTGATCACCAACAGCACCCTTAATATCTTGCACCGAAACAGTGTCGTCTCGGACATCAAGCGTGATTTCCACGTACTCATTATCATCGTCTTTGTTGTTGTTGTTGAATCTTTTACTGCTATTATTACGTTTTTTTGGTGAATTTAATGGACCGCTGAAAGTTACTCGGGATTGCGAGTGTACGCTGCTCCCTCCCGCATCGGATCCTGTCTCGTTATCTTGGATCTCCGTTGGTTTTCTCATTTCTTCTCTTTTGCTTACCCTTTGCTTGTTTTTATGGTATCCTTTCTATACAAATATATTTCTTTTTGATTATAACTATAATTATATAATTATATTCCCCTGCAAAAAGAAAAGAAAATGATAGTTAGCATTGGGGTTAGGGAATAAATAATAAATTAATGCTTGTTTAAGCTAAATACATACTTATATTACATGAGTTATAATTAAGGTGTTTAAGAGAAAAAAGAAAGGCGATAACAAAATAAGAAAAAAAGAGTATTTCTTGTGTCATACGGTCTGAAATCGAGAACTTACAAGAAACAAGGAGGAAAAGGCGGCTTAGGGAGTAGTAGTTGTTGATGAATATATAGTTTGTTGAGGAGAAAAAAGAGGGGAGAGAATTAATTGAATTTAGGAGAAAGAAAAAAAAAAATGTGGAATGAGGATTTGAGTAGGGTGGGAAAGAAGGGCTAAGAAGGGGGTTTTATTAGTGGGTTGTTGAAAATTTTGTGATATAATACAAGTGGGAGAAAGAAAGAGAAAAAAAAAAATAAAAAAATTTGAAGAATTGAACAAAGATAATTTAGGTGAGGAAGGTTTAGTCAAAAAAGGGTGAAGAAGAAATGTAAGAATTCAAGGGGCGTTTTCTGAGGGGCGCATCTGGCATTTCTTGTATTAATATGATGATTAATTAATTCTTTTTTAATGTTATACATAGAGTTTTAACTTTGATGGAATAGTGATTAATTACTTTAGTTGTTATATAATGTATTGTGTTCTATGTTTTGACTTTAAGGCCTAAAAGATATAAAAATATGAAATGGTTAGATTATTGAGATGTTACGATGTATTTATTAACTAAAGTGGAAAAGTTAAGTTTAAACCTTCATCATCTGCGTGTGTTTGGTGTGGGTGATGTAAGAGATGTATTTAGGTGATAGAGTTATGAGAAAGAAAATATTGGAATTCTTAATTAAATTTATGAAATGACAACTATTTATAGTGCTACAAGGGTTCAACCTAGGGTGTCAATTCGGGTGTTCGAATTGGGTTAGGTTAGGTCTATTTTTGAACTTGAGTCATGCTAAATTATTGTAATGTACTAAAAAAAAATAGAGTAATGTACTGTAAGTATTTTATTAAGCGCTTTTTCTAGCGGATTAATCATCTTCTCGAACAATGAAGGAATAAGGTTTGTTAAAATTACAAAGTAGCTAATTGAATGAGTGGTTTTTGGAGTTGGTTCCAAAAAAAGAATTTAACCTCTTCAATATTTGAATCAGCATTTTTCAAACAAAGTAACTAGAAAAGTCAAAGAAGAAATAGTAATTGTTCTTAAATGTCAAAAACGCGGGATAGAGGTGAGAAAGTGATTGTTGTTGGTCCAAACTTTTACTGGTAGTACTAATAAGCCCACTAGGTGATGTGAATTACAACTATTAATTATCGTGATTTTAGAGGTTGGTCTGAATTATTACCGTATGTACCTCATCTAATTGTGTTCGTCATAAAGTGAATATAAACTATATGGTATAGATCAAAAGTGCAAGGGTAATGAACAATATGACAATATTGAAAGTGAGGCATAGCTCAAGTGATTAGAGCTTCCCTTCCATTTTAGAAGGTCCTGAGATCGAATCGATTCTTATGCCGCCCTTGTGGCTCTCTCCAGACACACACACGTAACATTTTTGTAAAAAGTCAACAACTTTTATTAAATGCAAGTCCCACAAATGTTGATTTATTTACGAAAATGTTATGCTGATTGGGATGTTTTGTTGAGTTATTTATCGAAATGTCACTAGATTAACGATTTTTGTTTATCACGAAAATAAACTGGGGGTTCCCTCGTGGGTATTTCACAATAAATTGTACTTCCTCCGTTCTAGTAATATTGCAACAATTGGACTTTTACACTATTTATCACGCTTGTTTGACCACATATTATGATTTATACGTAAAGTAAAATATAATCATATAGGGTCTTATTAAATTCATCTTGTAAAATTATTTCACAATATCAACTTTTTATAATTTTTACTCTTATATAATTATAGATATGTAGCATATAAAATATGTTTTAGGATGCGTAATTTCATCCTTGTTACAATCTTTGTGAAGTAGAGAAAGTAATAAATAATACTTCTTCTATTCCCTTAATATTGCAACAATTACTATTTTAGGATGTTTTATGCCAGATCATTAAATAAATGTTTAATTGAAAAAAAAAAAAAAAAAAAAACTCATAGTTATCAACGTTAGGCGGACGAAGCTCACGAGAAGCGTCAATGGAAAACCCATCTTCTTCCTCCTCCTTGCGATCCCCATCTGCCTTCATCTTCTTCCTCCTCCTCCTCCTCCTGCAACCATTTCCGTTTGTGAAGGAAATAAACGAAAAAATACTAATGGATAATAGAATGGCATGGTTAACCCCTAAAGGCAAGAGTATTGTAATCTTCCATTAATTTCCGCATTGAAGTCATGAGTTTAATTGATGCTCCATTAAATTGAAGTTTCTCATAAGCTCCGTTGAGCGCTCCGTTAAAATCATTTTCTCAATTTTATTTAAATAAATTTTGAAAATGACCATTTTTTCCGAGCAAAATTATGAAGTTACCCCAGGATAAAGTCTGGTCTTTTATCCTGGTGATTAACTTGTATTTTCATCTCAATGAAACTTTTTTTTTTTTTAGTATAGTTCAATTAGAAATAATTCAATTTTAGAAACCTGATAAATTTTGCATATTAGGGGGGTATATATCAATATCATTTTATCTATTTATTTGTAAGGGAATTTATAGTAATTTTGATGATGGTGTTGTCTTTCCTCTATTCATCCATTATATTGTTGAAGTTGTTAATGTTGCTGTCATCCACCATTGTTTTAGATTGTTCCAAATTTGCACTCGTTGAGGGACTTGACCCAACACCTTATAACTTGAAGTGAGAAAGCTATGCACATTGCACCATTCACGTTCGTGTTCTCGATAGCAAAGAGATAGTTCCCACATCATACCTTCCTTATTTGCTTATCTTTGGAAAAATTAAATGTTTTTAGTCGTGTCAGGATATATTTATGTTAAGTTAGATATATTTTGTGAATATATTTATATATATCTTGTTAGGAGTTTTTGCAAGTCAGGTTAATGTTGTAAGCCTTTATATCGGTGATTAATGGTAAAGGCTCATTAAGCCGTTTTCTCTTAGTTATTCTTGTGAGTTTAACATGGTATCAGAGTCCAAGTTGGATTGTGTTGTGATTTGGGCCAGTATTATGGACAACTCACATTTGAGGGAGAATGTTAGCCATGAGCAAATTCACATGTGAGTGAAAGTATTGTCCCACAGTGAAAGAGTATAAAAGTGAAGAGGATTATTGGGATGGTATCCCACATTAAAGAAAAGAGAGGGTCGTGCCCACTTTATAAGGCTAAGGGGCTACTCTGCTCATTGCCATAATGTTTTGAGGTGAAACCTCCTTGATCTTACAAAGTGGGCAATCGTAACGGGTGTGGCCCAAACCCGTTAATCAAGTCGCAACGCGCTTTTAAATTAATATTGGTATGAGTAGTTCGCTTATTGCAAAAGCTATGACCCTTCGTAATGTTCTTCTTTTAGCACAGACCCATAATATATTAGAGGTGTTCATTAAAGGGGATAATTTACTTATTATTAATCTTTTTCAAGGAAAGGCACAATAATGCCCATGGAAAACATCAAGGAGCTACTTTAGAATTTCACCTCTGTTGATTTTCGCCACATTTACAAATTGGGTAAATAGAACAACAAACTATGTTGCTTTTCTGGGTCATTTTATGTAAGCTCACCAAGATGTCAATGTAATACCCCTCATGATTGCTTTAAAGGAGTTTAATATACTACTCATACCAACAAGATGCATCTTCCTTTTAGGGAGCTTATATGCTAAGATACTTCTCTGTTAAGCGTGTTTGGGTGGGAGTAGTTTTGGGATGGGTAACCTCCTAGGAAGTTTTTCCGGGGTGCGCATGAGTGAGAACAAAATGTGCCGGAAGGACTTGTGTTGGTATGTGAGGACAGTTGTTGGCCCTTGATGCGCATTTTGTGACAATAACCCCCTCTCTAATTTGTTTGGGGTCGGGGTGTTACAAATGGCATCAGAGCAACCCTGCGACCATGTGCTGATCGTGGATAATAAATCCTATGTTAGTCACCTAGCGGGTGAGTATTCAGGGGCCATATGCGTATCCAGACTGGATGTAACACTTTGGCTACCCAGTTGCCATTGAGCGTAACATTGGGGTCCCTAGGATTTCAAGCGCAACGAGGACGTTGTCGTTCTCAAGTGGGGGTGTATGTAATACCCCTTATGATTGCTTTAAAGGGATTTAATATACTAATCATACCAACAAGATGCATCTTTATTTTAGGAGCTCATATGCTAAGATACTTTTCAGTTAAGCGTGTTTGGCTGGGAGTAGTCTTAGGATGGATGACCTCCCAGGGAGTTTTCCCGGGGGTGCGCAAGAGTGAGGACAAAATAAGCCAGAAGGACTTGTATTGGTCTGCGAGGACAGTTGTTGGCCCTTGATGCGCATTTCGTGATGATAGGCTCCACCCTAATTTGTTAGGGGTCGGGGTGAATCTGCTTATAAATAGTATATTATTTATTTATTTTGATAAGTTAATTAGGGTATAGTCTTAAGAGTAGACTATCCTAACTTCTTGTTTACCTTTTTTTTTTTTTTTTTTTTTAAAAAAAAAAAAAACCACCATATTTGCTTATTAGGAGCAGGTTGCATATATGATTATACACTACTCAAAGACGAAATCTACTTATTTTTTCTCTCATTATTAAAATAAAAAAAACCCTACTATTTTCAATTACATATTTACTTCAAGAGGTGAGGGTGTTTGTTCAGGGGTAGAATCAAAAGGAAGGGATAAGGATAAAGAGCATGGGAAAAAGTTGTAGTGTTTGTTTAGAAGGGTGGGGTTAAAGAAAGGGGGTTGGGGTTAGAGATAAAACACTCCTTCAAGCCTCCATTTTTATAACTATGGGGTGGTATAAGTAAGATATAGAATATGAGTTTAAAAAGACTAAGTTACCCTTAATGAAATTGAAAGAATAAGGAGAGAAGAATGAATTAGTAAAGGTAAATCTATAATTATATCACTTATCCCTAACTTTTTTCTCATATGTATATATTACATGTGGGATTAATATATATTTATCAGTATCCCATTTATCAATTTCCTATCTTTATCCCACCTCTTTATCTCATTTTCTCCTATATTTCATATAAACGCCGCGCGAGTTTATAACTTATCAGTCCTCCTACTTCATCTCTCTTTATTTCAAGGACTTACTATGCAAATATTGGACCAAGTTAATACTGAGGACAATGAGGAGAGATTCAATGATTCAAAATGAGAAAGGAAAAAGAATATACATGTCCTTTTATTTTAATTTTATTTATTTATTTATTTATTTTGGTAAAAGATGTCCTTTTATAATTAGGAAAAATTACTTTAAATAATTTAACTTTTGCCCCATTATCCCAAAATAAACCAACCTTTGAATTATCTCAAAATAATCCAACCTTTATACCCCTTTTTCCCATAACA